GTATAACAAACCAAGAAAACTATTAAAAACATTGAGCTACTAATAAAACAACACAAATTCAAAACATTTCAGCACCACCGATAGAGGTCGTGTCATTTTGACACCAGCTTTATCTGTTTCAACTCAGAGCCTGTACCCCATCAGTAAAGTACAGTAAAACTGTCACAGTGGCCCACATGTTCACAAACACAATTTCAAAAAGAAGTAGCTATTGAAGAGCAAACGACAAGCCTTGCGCTCCGAGAACTCGTCCTTGACGCTCTTTGATCTTTTATTCTGGACAACATGAGTCCTCTCAGCCTCTCCTGTCCCACTGTGCCCCACTCAAGTGCAGCATGTCAAGTTGTACGGACTGTCTGTCATTTTTCTTCATTTTGCAGGTATCCTGAAGTTAACAGACCAATGTCTCCCAAATATTTTTAAGTTTTATGGATTAAAAAAATGTTGTGTCAAACTTATTTAACATTTCAGAGCCTGTAGGATGTTAAAAATCAATAAATAACCTAAAATGACCATCTTCCAACCCGCTCTGCCATTATAAATAAGTTCTCCCCTCCTCATTTCTTCCTGCTCTGCCCCGGTGCTCTGCCCTGCACAGGTGCTGAAATCTGTGGCCGACAGTCAGCCTGTATCCCCCCAATCCCGCGAGTTGATTAATATGGATTATTTAATTTTATTTTTTGCTGAAGTTATGGATTTGAGGCTCATTATACAGATAAACGACCGAAGGGGTTGACATGTTTGCAAGTGGTGAGTTTTAACTTAGAGGAGCGCTCAGAGGCACTGGTGACTGGAAGAGAGAGCAGTGCAAACCTCACTGAACTTGATGGAAGCATTTTTACCAGAACTTCAAAACGTGTTTGTTTGTTATCTGATTCCTGGAAGAGGTTCTAAAACAAAACAGACCCGGCTCTTCTGGATGCATTCAGGGGAGGGCCCGCTTTCTTCACCTCGCCTCAGGTGCGGTAGGGTCARCACCCTGCCTCCAAACTGGTTCGGTCTCATCCCGTCCAGGGTGAGGAGTTTGGAGAAGAATGTGCAGGAAATGTGAGATCGTACAATAAATCCAATGATAAATGGGCTTATATAGCACCTTTCTATCCATCCAGGACACTCAAAGCGCTTCACACTGCAGACATTCACCCATTCACACACTGATGATGGCAAACTACAACTGTAGCCACAGCTGCCCTGGGGCACACTGACAGAAGCGAAGCTGCCACACACAGGTGCCACCAGACCCTCTGACCACCATCAGTAGGCAAGGCAGGTGAAGTGTCTTGCCCAAGGACACAACGGCATGTGGGTATGGCGGGGAGTTGAACCTGTGACTTGTGGGTTCCAAAGCCGGCTGCTCTACCACTACACCACAGCCTCCCATAAATGWAGAYGTCTGAGCAAAATAAGTCATTCTGTGGAAGTCRGGTTGAAACTGCATCACTGTTGACTTTTTGAAACTTCTGATTTCAGAATAAAATTCACGTGTATCATGTGTGTAKGAATATGTTGYGAGCTRCTTGTTTCCATCTGCTTCCTAATCATAATGATGCATTTTGAAAGCATTTATGTATAAATATACCCATMTAATTATTAGTAAAGCAAAGATTTTCACAAAATTGCTCTTTCTTTGGGGATTTATTTTGYAAATATGGAAGTTGCGCTCGTTCTTCTTCCTGTTGTTGCAGTGTGATTTTTGCAAATTGACTCMGGAGCAGCTCYGGAGTCGGGCAAAAAAGATGAAWCTAATTTTGGGGGATTACGGTCCACTCGCTGCTCTGCACCATCATGAGGAGCCAGTGTRAATACTGTCACTGATTATAATGGTTGAATATTTACTGCAGAAGTTGGACCAGAGCWGAACAGCATGATGTAAATTGARGATTAAGCTCTATCTCTCTCTGGGCCCRACAAGGTCCAGACTCACTCTGGGCCCCAACCCGATCCCCTTATGGGCCCGGGCCAGGGGCATGCTGCCCTCCCAGCCCCCCCTGAAGCTTCGCCCCTGTTACCAGTGACAGATATGCTGATCCTCACTCTATTCTGTGCACCTGTGCTGGATGCTGACCGTAAATGACAACTAATCTACATTCGTCTAAAGCCTTTCTTCCTTTTTTTTTTTTTCAAATAAAATTGATTTCTAAATGGCCACCATGTTTCTATAACGTTTTGATGAAAATCTGCTTGTTAATTGAGTCAGACTGCTTGGCTGAAATAAAACGTACTTAAATGACTCTTTACAGAGTTAGTGTCTCTATGTAGTGAACAGATTTTGTTTTTTGGTAAAAACATGTTCCGCTTTTTTTCTTCTTCTTTTTTTCCCCAAATGTTAGTAAAAGAGGAACAACATTGTTCAGCATTCTCAACCCATTTTCTGTTGTTATGGTCAGGGACCAGCTGAGCCGGATCTTGTTGTGTTGCACCATCCACACTGCATATAAGGTGAGCTGAAACCAGAGGACTCATGTCAGATTCTGTACACTCTGATATCGCTCTGCCAAAAAGTGGAAGATTTTGACTTTCTTTGTTTTTTAAATTAGATTTAAATTCTTCTTCAGTGACAGACATGCTGATCTTCACTCCGCTCTGTTTCCACCTGTGCTGGATGCTGACTATGGACCTCATGCTGGTAAGTTTCTCATGTGATATCCTACAAATGTCACTAAATAAGGATATTTACTCCATAAAATTAGATCAACACTTTTGCTACAAATTCTGTAAACTGGCTGTATTTGGAAAAGCTAAAATTAGATGCAGCTTGTTTTTAGGCTGTGACCTGACTTGCTAGTGCTGCAGGACCATGATGCAGGTTTTAACTGTGTTGTGTTAAAAAAAAATTAAATTCTTTTCTCTACCTTGTCTTAGTTTCACCAGTATGTACATGCAGTTATAGACACAAAGAATGTCACTCTATCTATTTAAAGTGTTTCTTTTACAGTCCGTTTCTTCTTTTATTGTGTTTTAGTTTACTAGTGGTGCCAAGGTCATCCATCTGGACATGGCTGAAGAGTCCGTTGACGACATGTATGATGGCTGCAGTGACTCAATGCCGAAAATCCTGGACCAGCATTTCTCTAAGGAGAAGAAAGGCCTCTGGACAATAAGTAACGGCTGTGCAAATGAAAAACTAAAAGAAAGAGGTCCAGAGGACAWGGCTCTGACCAAAGAGCATTTGCAAGCTATCTGTATGTACACACGTTCTGGGTATGATGAGATCAATAAAGCCGTCAGGGAACAAAAGAATACATACGGTGGATCATTCAAGTACCACATTTTACATTTCTATCTGACCACAGCCTTACAAATCCTGAAACATAACCAACAATGTCACACCACCTATAGACGGACTAGGGATACTTATGAAGGTCAAGTCGGCCATGAAATCAGATTTGGCTACTTTGTTTCCACCTCCAAAGATTCTCACTTGACTCGATTTGGTGAGGAGACCTGCTTTAARATTCAAACCTGTTTAGGCGCAGATCTGAAACATTATCCGTATCGTGGTGAAGATGAGAGTGAAGTTCTAATCCCACCATATGAGACGTTCACCATCAAGGAAAGACTCCCAAAAGGTAAAGGACCTGAAGGTCTCAAAGACTGTAATCTTGTTTATGTCTTGGAGAATAAAGGGCATAAGAGCAATCTGAACTGTAAACTGGTTAAAATGTTCAGTGGTCCGTCACAACCACACGGGTAAAGTTAAGTCTTGTTCTGTCATATTTCAGCTAAATCTTTTGTTAGCAAAGGTTACTGTATTGTGCAGTCATGTTAAACAACAAATGTATTGCAGAGATTCATACTTATGCTACAAACATTTACATATAACTTAAACATCAATCTTGGATGTTTTGTTATATTGTTGTTTCCATATAAAAAAAACTGTATGGCACAGGGAACTTCTTGCTTTTGCTTTGTGCATTTTATTGTGGAAAAGCTGAAATAAAACACATGAAACATGAGAGTTTCAAGTTGTATTTGTTTATTATATATATA